TACCAAGTGTTGGGGGAACAGCTTCCAGTTCTCCTTCATAGAGACGTATAATAACTAAAGCAAGCTGTTCGTCTTGAAGCTTGTTCAAAACAACCTGAAAAAAACAATTATTTGTTACCTGGAGGAAAATGCAGTGTGTGTCTGTTGGAGTTTTACATTTGGCCAAAAATATCTAAGTATTAGTATTTCCAATAAATGATACAACTCTGTTTTATTAATTTTTTTTCCTATTATTATTCTACTTCATGGCCTCATGCATTTGGTTACCTCTGTGTCTTCCCATCCACCTGCTTCTAGTGGAATAAATACCTAATAAAATATAAACAAATAAATAAATTACCTCTAGAGCATCAGTGAGAGCCCCTGCCAGGAGGAAGAAGGCTGCAGCATGTTCAAATCTCTGTTTTCCAAGGAGTGCAAAGGCATTCTTCAGGGCTGCCTTTCGCCATCTCTCCTCAGTGAAATTATTGGAAAAGAAGTCAGTCATCCTTTTGTCATTGATGGAGCGGAAGAGACCCCAAACAAGACTTTTCTTCTTCATTGCAAGATAGTAGATGGCAGCATCAAGAGGATCTTTACGTAACTGGAATGCTGCCTTTGCAACCTACAATGAGGAAAAATGATTACTGTGTATCCAACCATTAAATATTATAACAAATCCTTTGACATCAACGAGGAAGTTAAAATATCACACACACACACATACACAATATATATATAAATACATGTCAGTTGCCCAGTCAAGTGTTATTCTGAAAAGACGTACCTTGTTGATGCAGCGTGATAGAACTGTGTTGTTTCTAATCCACCATCCAAAGCCTAATTCCCGCAGCTCTGACCAACGAGGATTGCCCTGAAAGGTATTTAACATAAAGAAAATGTGCAATAAATTATCTTTATTGCTTATTATAAATAATAAGTTCACATCATCTTTTCTATTTCCTATAATTCTTAAAATTCATACCTGTCTCATAGATGGAATAAATTCTAAAAGTTCTTCTTGGCTCTCTGAGTGGAAAGCCCAGACAAAATTGTGACTACCAATGCCACCTTTTTGCAAAGCTGCCCTTTGAGCAATGGGCAAACATCTAAGAAGATATGTGTGATGACGCATTGCCAAAAGGAATCGTAAACCACAGTCATCAAGAGCATCTGTCAAAAGAAAAGCAAATTACTTACATCTATTTATGAACAGAAGTTTCCAGCATAGTATACAACTAACTCATGTATGTACAGGACACTACCACATGTATCATGTTCTATTCATAAGTACATATGTCAAAGCATTCAACTATATTTTCTAAGAATAAATATAAAACTATTTGTCATAAATTAATTCTGCTTGCAAATATAGTTAAGAAAATGATTACTTCTGAATTGTTAAACTTTTAAAACTGTCACCATCAAACAAGGATTGTTTGGGGACAAAAGATTTGCATGTGATGCCACTGCCTTTGGTAACATGCATTATGCCTGAATAAATACTCCGTCTTCTGCTATTCAAAAAATTGTATTCTACATTAGCCAAGCTTTTTACTTTTGGTGCCCTATGACCATTTTTTTCCATAGCCCCTAGTTTTCATGAATGCAAATATACACAATCCTGTGTACCTCTAAGTGACACACCTGAGGTGCCATGAGTAATCAACTATCACAGTTACATAACTCTATATTCTTACCCATAGAAGGCTCATCTGTAACAGCTCTTGAAAATGTCTCCTTCGCCAGTGCTTCTTTAGCCTTGTTTATATCAAAGCGATCAGCAAAGTCAACATTACATGAGGCTACTGTGTCTGACAGGGCCAAAAGGTGCATTTGGTCAAGACTTGACAGTCCTGGCAGATGGGTGTGGGTGAGCAAAGTTGCCAAAATTTGGGTCTGAGGAAGAAGATAAATAAAACACATTTTATTATCCTACAATCACATTAGTCTTGATTAACACAAAAATGCAAAACATGTGCAAATATTTTTCTGAAAGTTTATTACCAATCACTTCAGTGATCAAAATGAACATAATTAAACATGTCATTCACAAAGATGCATGACGATGATAACTAATGGTAATATATTCTCTCCATTAACTCCTTATATCTGGGAGATGTGACCATCACATCATGAAAAAATCTGGGTTGAGGGGCAGGTGGCATGAACATGCTGTCAAGGAAAAATGTGACTGTAGACAGGGTGATGCAAACCTGCTGCCATGAGAGTTTTGACTGAAGGCCAGGGTGATGACTTGCCATGGGTGCACAAACCTACTATGAGATTTATTTTACTCAGTTGGCAATTTTGTATTATTCCCATCAATCTATGAGTGTGGAATGTAATGTCAGTGAGTGGTGACTGGAAAAGTGCCAGCTCCATGGAGAACACCATTTCCATGCTCAGCATGGAAATGGTGCCGTGAGCACCAGAAAAGTTAATATTATGTTAAAAAAAAAAATTACTTTTTTTTATTTTTTATTTTTTTGCATTGAGTTGTAGATTACCTAGAGAGATG